AGATGCATTTATTTGAGTGACTATGGAAATAAGGGAGCACTTTAAAGTTGCCCAACAAGAGTTGATGTCCCTTTCTCTTGTTAATTCAAACTCTTATAGGATCTCAAAATGCCTTATCACAATACTTCTCTCCATTTTCTTTCTTTTTACCATATGTTAATTTCAATCTAAGACACATTGGATGTCTGCTGTGAAGAGGAATCTGTATGGATGCAGTACTCAAATGACACCAGTCTGAGGCCTTCCCCACTGAAGTTCACTACACAATTTTGTACATTGTGTAAATATTAATTTTGAAGATTGGACATCAATGGATGGCACTCAGATTAATTAATCCATCAGGAGATATTGAATCACCACAAAAGGCGAATAAACCTGCTTTTCCTCCTTAACCCTACCCCTCAAGAAAATAATATAAACAACATTAGATGAGGTCGTTACAACTAAACAGCCGCACCCTCTGTGCTGAAAAAAGCTTTTTTTTCCTTTGGTTGTATTAATAAATGTCGTAATACCCCTTTTTTCATGTAACCAAGCAACCTATAGCGCATGAATCACTGCTGTTATTATTAGCTGTATTTTGCGGAAGAGAATGTGGCACAGAAGGTATGTAACTGTATCCCTTGAGTCATATTGCCACCTTATGGTGTTTTTGATATAATGTGCTGTGTGTGGGCAGCTGCTTCAACTTGCATTAACAAGGCAAACAAACCAGATAATATCTACCATGGCATCTGATTTATAGGGTTGCCAACTCTGGCTTGGAAAATTCCTGGGGACTTGAGGGTGGGGCCTGGAGAGGGACTTCAGTTTCTCCTGGATTCAATGGTATACCATAAAATCCATCCCTCCGAGCTGCCATTTCCTGCAGGGGAACTGATCTCTGTAGTCTGGAGGGAAGTCATAATTCTGAGAGAACTCCAAGCCTCCCTCCCCCTGGAGGTTGGTAACCCTACATTTGAATTATCTGCCATATCTTTGACTTCAATTTCTGCCTGCTACCTTTTCTTAATGGTAGTATGAAAAATTGTGATGGTGGTTCTTATAATTAAAAGTTCAGATGACCTGTTCATCCATCCATGGCCCATTCTGGTCCTGGAAAACAAGCAACTGGCCACACACAGAGCAGTTATATTATTTGGCCTCTCTGAACAGAAGACAAATGAAAGCATTTTAAGGTTGTTGTTTTTTTAAATGTGATGTAACTATTTCTCCAAATGCAGCCAAAAAGCCCAAAGAAGTACAATTCAACCAGACAACCACTGTTGGTTTTTACTAAGGGGGCATGGGGTCTCTGCTGAAAGAAGAAGAATTTTTTTTAAATGAGGAAAAGATTGTCTTTTATGATATGACAGCCAGAATTAGGAGTCACGAGGCCATCCAAAATATGATGACATTTTAAGTTCCCACCCAGGATTTTTGAAAACAATGACTTTTTACCTCATGCAATCCTCTGGGTGTGTTAATACACAAAGCTCACATATGGCAATCTATTATTGCTCAATAATTAAATGTTAAACAAAACAGTTACTTTAACTTGGGAGGATCACAATGATGTCAAAATGTTTTGCTGCTTTAATAGTGTCCCACTTCAGTAATTTATCATATCGACATTCTAGTTCTAATCATTAGCACGGGTGTATATTCTGAAATGCCTAAATAAACATTACATTATGACCAAATTTTAACATGTCTATAGTTACTTTTCCTGGCAGCTTTTGCTTGCTGAACAGCCAAGTCATGAAGTTAAAGCCATTGGCAAATTAAACAATCACATATTTATGTGCAAAGTTAAATTTGCACTCATTCCCCTAATCTTTAATGGCTCTTTGGCATTGAATATCTAAGTTTTGCTTTAAAAACAAGCCTTTCCATAATTTCAGTAATTTTTTGAAGTTATAGGCATCAGTTTTCCGTTCTAAATATTCAGTCCACAAGGGCATGCAGTTTCATTTATCGCTGCATTTTCTTAGTGAAATTGCAAGAATACTGACAGAAAATATGTTTTGTGTACATTCAGTTGCTAACTTAGATGTAATTAACAGCAAGCTTAAACCCAACAAAGGCCTTATACTCAGTTTAAGCAAAAGTACTGTCATTTTAAGAACATTACAGAATGCACTCAGTGCTATTGGTACTGATACTGCATTTACAGTATATTTAGATAGCAAAATCTTGTATCATATTGTATTTTATTTGTGGATAAATAAAGATTGGCAAATGATACTTTTCTCATTAAGGATACAATTTAAGTCACTTCTTTCATTCCCTCACTGAAAATGAACTGGAAAAGAATTTGTGTTTTTGAAGAGGTTTGGGTGAAATTGATGATTCTTTCTCTCAGGGTTTTCAGCCAATAAACACCCACGGAAGCCACATGTCTTTTGATTTGCATATATGTCAATCCCATAGCCGATCAAGAGTTTACCGCAGTGGCTATTCATATAAAACATGTGATTTGAAGCACAAAGGAGTCCACAGGTATCTGGATGCTTCCTTCATGTTATTTTCTCTACAGAAAGCCGTGTGTGAACTAATGTATATTGCTTATGAAAAGAATTACGCACACGTCTGTGGATTGATTCACATATCTATTTTCATAGTTTAATACCTGCCGCATTAAGTCGCTATTTGGTTTTTATTACATTTTACCCACCTTTTCTCCAAAGAGCTTATCATTCTCTTCTCCTCCATTTTATCTTCACAACAACCCAGTGAGGGAGGTTAGGTACTGACCCAAGGTCACCCAGCAGCTGCAAGGCAGAGTGGGGATTTCAGGCTGGGTCTCCCATATCCTCATATGACCATCTAACCAATAATGCTGTGGTTGTCTCTTGTATAAGCCACCACTTTAAGATACAATGCTCATATTAATGTCTACACATACTTCATGCTTTCGGATGAAGCCACTCATCCAGCTATCAGTTACCAAGATGCAAGTGATGAGACATCAAATGACGTACCTAGCATGTGTGAAGCAGCTCTATTTTTCTGGGCAAAGTTAAATCAGAAAACTTTGTTTGGTAGTGGTTTTGCACATTTATCAAAGTATATGCGATACTCAACAGTGTACACAAGGATACCCTACCTGCCAGCATTCTGCAGATGACAATAAAGACATGCTTGTATATTTGAAAGTAGGGTTGAGCTGAAAGGGGGAGTTTCTGCAAAAACGTTTGCAATCTATAGAACACACTTTTTCACTGATTTGGAAGGAAGGTGAAAATGGTAGCCTATTCAGAGTGAGGGCATAAAGCATTGACAAATCTAACTGCTACATGACAACGCTGTGTTATCATTACAGTCACAGTTTGATCCTTGGTTAGCTGTGTACCTGCTGTTTGTTGTTGTTCAGTTGCACAGTCGAGTCCGACTCTTCACAACCCCATGGACCACATCACGCCAGGCCCTCCTGTCTTCTGTTGTGCTCCAGTGTTTGCTTAATTTCACGTTTGTTGCATTGATAACACTGTCTATCCATCTCATCCTTTGTCATCCCCTTCTTCTTTTACCTTCAATCTTTCCCAGCATCAGGGTCTTCTCCTGTGAGTGCTCCCTTCTCATTTGGGTGGCCAAAGTATTTGAGCTTCAGCTCCAGTATCTGGCCTTCCAGGGAACAGCCAGGGTTGATTTCTTTTAGGATTGACTGTACCTGCCACTACTATGATAATTTATCTGTTTTAATAGTACTGATGTTTTATGGGTTTTATGGTGAGGAGAGAAAGAGGAGGGGTGAAATTTTCTCTCCCCCCCCCCCAACTCCCTTTTGCTCTTAAAATGTTTGTGTTACAGCTTGCATTGCAGTTCAATTTGCACAATGATTCACTAGAGCACACCCAGTGACATACTGTTTCAATTTCTTCTTTGGCTGTCCCACATAATTGACCATAATAGTTTTCTTTAAAATATATATATTTAAAACCTCTAGAATGTTTACGTTGCAGCTCAAATGCATTCAGCAAAGTTTCCTATTTTGATCGGTGCACTGGTATTTTGCATCTTTGTGAACAGACATCTGCATGCATGTGAACAAAAGGAAAGGTACACCCTCCAGTCAGAACACAAAAGATGCAAGGGACCCAAGACTTCTACTGTACATATTACATTTCTCCACATGCAAAACATAGATGAGACGGGGCAGTGATCTACCAGAGACAGGTATAATAAAACTGGATTTTCCCTGATAGACATTTAGGAGAAATGCACATCAAAGTAACCTGTGAATTAAAAAGTCAGGTTCCCACTTGCCATGGAGGTTCGCTGAGTGACCCTTATTCTCTCAGCCTAACCTACTTCACAGGATTCCTGCGAGGATAAGATGTAGTGAACAATGTAAGCTACTTCGGGACCCAAATAAAATAAATAAATACCTACTACGACAGTGCAGTCTAAGGCAGAGTTATATTCTGCTAAATCCACCGAAATTAATGGGCTTAGAAAAGTATAACTCTGCTGAGGACGAGACTGTTTGGCATGCAGTTTTAGGACCAGATATGCCTTTTTTAAAAGGCCTTTGGCCTCCTTTATAGTCAGTTCTAAACAAGATTAAAATGCAGGAAAAGCACGGTGTTTTAAAGAGCATTTCTCGTTATCGTTTTTAATAACTACAAATACCACCACAATTGGTGGTCAGTCTCATACAAACAGTTTGGTTATTCTTGACCCCAAGGGAGGCTCTGTGCGTTTGGCCCGCACAGTGTATTTCCATTTCATTGCTCGTCACAGAATCAGAAATACGGGTGTTCCGCAGAAATAATTCGTGGCGCAACATGCACGGGGTGGTGGTAGAAATCTTCCGTTTCTTAAACGAAGTTTCTGGTTCCTTCGGATAAAATTTAGAACTGTGCCACTATACACCGGCTTTCCCCGCTCCGCGCTACATGGTGGCGCTGCTACGACGACGGGTCGAGAGACTCCGGAAACAGAAACGTGGGCGGGGAGGCGCCGGAGTCGTGGCGAGGGAAAAGCGCCTGTCGGCCTAGCTTGGTCGGTGCCGGGCGCATCCACTAGGGGGCAGCGGGCGCCTCCTCTCCGTCCAAGCTCACCGCGGGCAAGTGGCGGGTCGGCCTGGCTGTGGCGGGGGACGGGCGGGGCGGGGGGGGGCGCGCTGGTGTCGCTCGCGAGAAGGCCTGAGCCGAAGGAAGGGCCCCCGAGAGGCTGCGGGAGCGTCGCCGCTGTCACTCCATGCGCAAGATGCTGCTGGCCGCGCTCTCCCGTCTCCTGCAAGGCCCCGCTGCCCACCACAAGCCGGTGAGTGAGGAGGGCCTGAGTCGGAAAGGCCCGAGCAGCCTGACGGTTAAGCCGCAGCCCGGGGAGCCGGGTTCAAATTCCCACTCCGGCGTGTGACCT